CGTGTTTCTCCCACTCTATCTAGGACTTTCTGTTGTGTTCCCTTTCACGGTGGTCAGCAGTGGTAGCTTGGCACCATCTACTTTTTCTGGTCTCATGGTCCTAGTATGTTTCTTGTTGAATTTTATTTAGCCAGAAATTACCAGTTAACCTCACCTTCATACCCAAGTTGCAGTATGCCTCATGCTCTTCAAATGCTGCTTGCAACTACTTCTTTACATCACAGAATTATGGAGAGTTCCATCAGAAACAAAAGTAGTTTGCAGCAACATAAACATCTATAGTTATTTCTGATTTATTATTATTTAGCATACTTACTACGTGGACTATCTGTGTAAATTGTTATTACCATTCATAAATCCATTAGAACTTTATTTGTTGATGTACAGAGAGTATTTTGCAACATTTCATAAAATTTCACCACTTGCATAGATATTTATTATTATTATTATTATTTTAATGTAAGGATGGCCCAAACATGGGACTCATCTCTCTAGCATGTCTTTCCTCTGTAATTTCCCAATTGTCTGGGAGAGAATTTATTGTGGTCTGACAGATCTCTTTGCTCAATCCTGCTTTAACCCCATTCCTATCCATATGTTACTCCCCAATAAACCTTTAAAACTTTTTTTTTTCTTTGCAAAGAAATAAAACTTTAATTGTCAGTGTTTATTTATTATTATCATTATTTTATTGTGCTTTAGGTTCAAATTTACAGAGTGGAGTTTGTTTTACATTCCATAGTATGTGTACATTTAGTTTCACTCCCCATTTACAAGCCCCAGCCCTAACCCAGTTTCTTCCCCTCCCTACCCAATAACCCTCCCCTCCCACCATGCCCCTCATAATTATGCACTCCTGTGTGTCCTGCATTTCCTCCGTTTAAATGTTGCCCCTCTGGTGCCTTGTGGTCGATTGCTCCGAGGAATGCATCTCCATAGAGTATGTGTGTGCATCACCCTGGGTTGAGTGGTCTGCATGTACATCTTGTTTACTGTTGGACTGAAAGGTAGCTCCTGAGAGTGAGTTTTATTCCAGGCCAAGAATGTATCCCAGGGCCATAATACTGGGGATCTCAATAGACTCCATCCAACCAGTAATTCTGGTCATTATTGGGTTTTTGAATTTTGTTCCACATTTTTCCTCCCAGTCTATCCAGGATCTCCAGATTTGATCCTTTCCTGAGTGGTTGGCATTGGTAGCTGGACACTATCTAGTTCTTCTGGTCTCAAGGTCCATCATGTGCTAGGGCTGATTGCTTCTAAATGTTCTTGTTTTTTTGTACTGTTCTTCGCTTCCTAAGATAGGAGCCCATTAGCTGCATCTTAGATGGCCGCTTGAAACTTTTTAAGACTCCAGTCACTACTCACCAACGTAGGATGAGGAACAAGGCTTTTATGTATTTTGTTGCGCCAATTGAATCTGGTGTCCCCCAGGACTATGGTCCTGAGTTGGTAGATTCATTGGCTATCTCTCCCACAGTGTCTGGCTCTCTGTGAGGGATTACTCTGTCTGCCTTCTGTTGGTTCTGTAAGTATTGCTGATATTTTGTATCACTGGTATCTGTGTAAGATTAGCCTATGCTGAGTCAATCCTTGGTCTAGAGTATACCCCTGTTCACTGACCCCCATCTGATCTTAGATGTTTATGTGTTTATCTGTAGCCTGGTGTTTGGTGTTAATGGTAATGCAGTATTTTTGGAGAGGACACAGTTGAATAGCTAACAAAAGCCCTAAAGAATACACATACTTTGAAAAGGTTTTAATCTCTGCAGAACAGTAGGTCAATTTTACTTTGTTTTAAAACTTGGGTTAGGTATGACCTAATTAACTTGGCAAATTTTGGTGAATTATAACTCTTAAAATCCTTGGTATTCTACGAACAGAAGTTTGCTTCCTAAGGACAGTAAATTTCCAACATCTTAGCATTTTAGCTACTAAATTCAGTGTTGTTCTCTGCTCTCTTTTGACCAGCACCATCTATGTACTCACATGCCCTCGATTATGGCTGTATTCATTGTCTGAGGCTGACATTACATATTCATTTGCTGTAGGTCAGCAACTGGCTTTGGGCTTCCTACAAAAGCTCACAGGTTGTTAGCTTGTCAAAAATCATTTAATTCAAGACTTGGTTTTTCCATTTATCCTTCAAGATTCTAATCAGTAGGTTTTCCATGCCAATCGATCCTTTCCCAGTTGGCTTCCTTTAGCTCTGACACCATGTGTTATAAGCTGAAATTTTGACAAAATGATGCACATTCAAAAAGAATTTTAGTTTTCTTACAAAGTAGACAGTTAAACCAGGAAATCTGAATGAAAGTGTTGCCAACTGCAAATACATCTTTCTGCTGCTTTATAGCGTCTCTACTAGGTTAGGTATAGTCTGAATGCTATTGGGACTATGTGTTTCTGTCCTAAACCTTTATCTGCTGATACCTATTCTATTTGGTATTAAAATTCAGCATGTTAGACAAAGAAAACAGCTCTATAATGTATTTGAGAACTATGTATTCTTTTATGAAGTTTAATAAGTAATACAGTAAAGATTTTAAAATTATTATATAAACCTTAATGAAAAATAAGGGGAAAAGAATGCAACAAATAGAAAAATTTAAATAAATCTATTGAGTATATTCATATAGTATGGGATTTTAAATGTTTTTTTTTTCTGTTAATCTCTATCATAATTATTTATCAGAAATAATATATTAACAAACTATATTGAAATTATTTTGAATGTATGTCATTGTCAGTTATGGTTCACATCAAACCAAATACAAATATTATCACAGATATCTGCAATTTGATCTTTTATTTTTTGATTTATTATTATCTATTTCTATTATGTATTGACCATTTGACAAAGATTTATAATGAAAATCATGTGTAAGTTCCTTTTGATTACTCAAAAGGCTTTGCTCTTTCCCCTGGAATAGGTTTTTGTTTTGCTTAGCAAAATCAGTAAGGATTGGGACAAATATAGTGTGTTTTCTAGCTTTCATGGAGGAATTTGTGAAAATGTGAAATCTACAATTGTATCTAAAATTGTCTGGCAAATTTCAGGGGTTGGCATGACCCAGGAGATGTTTCTAATAACCTTCTCACTATTTCAGAGTTTTTCTTCTCCTTTGTGTATGTTGCATCCAGGTCTGGTATAGTTGGGAAGAAATTAAGAGTCAAAATAAAATAGATGACAACTTTTAAGGTAGAATTAAAAATAATTTGATGATCTGGCTTGAGATTACAGAATAAATGGTCTTCTTTTGCTTCAAACTCAACTTGGGACACTTTGACACACCTTACTGGAGGCCAAGGTGATATATATATCAGCCTTTTGGTCTTTGTTAAATATATATATGTATATATATATATATATATGTATATATATATGTGTGTGTGTGTATATATGTGTGTGTGTGTATATATATATATATATATATATCTATCCCATTTACATATATTATGTATTCCATTTGGTATTGTTGTTAGGTGCTGAAGAGTTGGTTCTGTCTCATAGCAACCCTACGTACAACAAAACAGAACTGCCTTTTCCTGTGCCATCCTGTTTCTGCCATGTTTGAGCCCCTTGTTACAGCCACTGTGCAAATCCACCTTGTTGAGGGTCTTCCTCATTTTCTCTGGCCCTCTAATTTACCAAGCAGGGTATCCTTCTCCAGGGATTTCTCTCTCCTAACAGCATAACTGAAGTATAAGAGACAAAATCTAGCCATTCTCCCTTCTAAGTAGCATTCCAGCTGTACTTCATCCAAAACAGATTTGTTTGTTCTACTTGTAGTCTGTGATATAGACAGTATTCTTTGCTAACTTCATAATGCAAATTCATCAATTCTTCTTCAGTCTTCCTTAATCTTATCCATGTTTTGCATACATATGAGCCGAGGTGATTGAAACATACCATAGCTTGGATCAGGCTCACCATAGTCTTTAAAGTAGTATCTTTGCTTTTCTACCCTTTAAAGAAATTTTTTGGAATAGATTTGCCCAATGGAATCATTCATTTGATTTCTTGGCTGCTGCTTTCATGGGAATTGATTTTGGATCCAAGTGAAATTAAAACATTGACAACATCAATACAATCTCCATTTATCATGATGTTGCATAGTTGTTGAGTAGTGAGGACTTCTGTTTTCTTTTTGTTGACTTGTAATTTGCACTAAAGGCTGTAGTATTTGATCTTCATCAGTACTTGCATTAAGTCTTCTTCACTTTCAGCAAGCAAAACTGTTGTCATTTGCATACCATGTTCTTCTCCATATAGTAAAGCTTCTGGAATTATTTTCTCATCATACAGATTGAATAAGTATGGTGAAAGGATATAACCCTAATACACACACTTCTTGATTTTAAATCATAGCATAGTGCCTAAGGCACTTGACTGCTAACCAGAAGGCTGGCGGTTCAAACCCACCAGCCAATCCTTGGAAAGAAGATTAGGCAATCTACTTCCATAGTGATACTGCCTCAGAAACCCAAGGAGGGGTCACCAGGAGTTGGGTCTGACTCGATGTCAAACAACAACAACAACAAAAACATATCCGTTGTTCTGTTTGAGCAGCAGCCTTTTGGTCTTTGTTCAAGTTCCGAATGAGCACATTTAAGCATTTACTTAGGGTAGTCCAAAAATTCTCTGGAAAATATTTACCTCATAATTATGTCATGAAAATTAACAGATGATAAAACAGATTTTACTTTCTGCTGCATGAGTATACAGCAGAATGATAGGAATGAGGATATATATCACAAAAGAAGTTACAATTTCTCTACTTTAAAAGTTGGACCTTGGATTGGAAAGCTAAAATAAAAGAGGAATCTTCACAAATCATTCTCTTCTTAAATTTGTTTTATTATCATTTTTTTTTCAGGTATTTCATGGAATGCTTTACAATGAAACTACTCACTCAGCATTATGATGCTTTGGTTTCTTTGCCTTATTAAAATTCCTTAAGCATAAATATTTACATATATTTTTCTTCTTCTTCTAGCAATGGTTGTTTTGAACAACCTGGAACCAAATACAACATATGAAATCAGGGTTGCAGCTGTAAATGGAAAAGGGCAAGGAGACTATAGTAAGATCGAAATCTTCCAAACACTACCAGTTCGTAAGTTATCTTTTCTGTCGTATGCTCTGTTGACATTCTCTTCACTTGCAAACGTAAAAAAGATTTTGAAATTCAAGGGGAAGTGTTAACTCTTGGCAAAGTGAATTATGTCTTTATTTAAATGGTTCCTGAATATACTTGCATCTCAGATTAATAGAAGAAATAAATCACTTTTGAACAAGGGAAAAAGATGCACTGAATTTGTTTTCCAACAGTGAGTTTGTTTTCAGGAAACTGTCTCAGACACAAAGGTGTCCTACTTATCTGTAGTGTGAATAATCAAATCGTAGTGTTCAAACTTTATCCTGTGGGACAGTGGAAAAATGTCTATGTAATATGCCAAGTACAAAATTATATTTATGAGTTGTGACTATTGCCTTTCTCACAAATTATTTATGCTTTAATGTGAGGAAAATGGAACTACTAAATTAATCCATTACAACAGTGACTGCAGGAAAATAATAACTGTATCAGCTTTCCTCCTAATCATCCTGCTTTGGGGTATTGTGTGGTCAATTGAGTTTACTTGAGAAAGTTAAGATAAATATAAAAAGACTTAATGTTTCTTTTATGTTCAATAAATTATGATAAATGAGAGAAAACCTTTGCATAATCCTGCCTATTATGTATACGTGGCAGGACAGCCAAATTGGCCACCATAAATTATTTTGCCGTAATTTGTGACCAATTACATTTCTTTTCATAAAATTGGCAAAATGTATTCTCTTTTCTCCATTCCCAATACTAGTGTCTTTTTAACCCTCTCGTTATTTTTTTAACGAGGAAATTTTGATTCATGATCCCATCTCCAGGTTTGTTTTTTTCCTAATACATCTTCCAAAAATGAAGATAATAAAGTAAGTCAGAGGATGTGCCCCAAAATATTAGCTCAGTGGCACACAGCAAGGAGTTCTCATTCCAAATTACTGAGCACTGATGGCACTCTTCCTATTTAAAATTCTTGCACTTCAATACATCCCTATTATATTAAAAATATTATAACCATCTTTGTTATAAGATCATCTTGATGAAGAACAAAAATCAAAAGAAAGTGTTTTATTGTTACTAAAAGAAAATAATTGAAGCACACATCAATAGAATAGGATCCTACAAACATATTTAATTCAAATATACATCTTATTTTTTAAAATGCTAGTACGAAAAGATAAATAGTTATCTTTCTTGGTTGGCAGGCTACCAATTCTGTTTAATAGGTTAATGTATTCTCTTTTATAGCTCTAATCTATTAATTAAAAAAAATAGAATTATATACTATTAATAGTAAGATAAATGAAGTTTTTCACTTATATAATGTAATACAGTTTCCAGAGATTTTTCATATCAGTATAAATAAAATGCTTAGTTCTGATATTTCACAATTTTGGCACAATACTTCCAGTTTTATGAATGTTGCTCTTTTCTGAAATGGGAAAAATGAGGATCCGAGATTATATCACATCAAATGTCAAGTAGAAAATGGTAAATCCGGAGAGAACTTCATATCTTTTGATTACATGATGCTGTTCTTTTATAAAATTGCAGTTTCTTTACACATTTGATATGTGTGTGAATGTGAAGAATGTTGTATTGCATATTTAGGTGAACCGAGTCCTCCATCAATCCAGGGACAACCAAGCAGCGGGAAGAGCTTTAAACTCAGCATCACCAAACAGGATGATGGAGGGGCCCCTATTTTGGAATACATTGTGAAATATAGAAGTGTAAGTACCGATTCATTATCATTTTGTTGCAAGTGTTTTCAAATTCTATGAAGATTTGTATTGAATTCATAGATATATCAGAAATGAATGCATATTAAATAACAGCGATGATAAATAGCAGTCAAGGAAATTCAAATGCCAATTTTTCATTGCTGAAATTCATCATTATAAATTGTAAAGTGCTTGAATTAAAAAAAAAAAAGAAAACACCTAAGCATAGACCATGGGTAATAATACTTTCTGTACTTAATTTTGTGATATCTAAGTGTGAAATGGGACTTGGCAACATTTCAAAAATGAGATGCCATTTCCCTGTTTCTTCTGTCAATTTTACAGGATATTCTCACCTCTGATTCCTTGTACTAAAAATAACCCTAAACTAAGTCTTCTTGTCACTTGTAGTTACTCTAAGTAGAATTATTGACAAATATACCTGAGAATAAATTGATTTAATTAAATAATCAGACTGTTCTATCTCTGATAGCTGACAAAAATGATCATATGTAACTTGAGAAATAGGGAAGAGTTGTCTTCTAGTTTATTTAGCACTAGCTGGTAAGGGACTTTGGATAATCAGAAGCTGCCCTGGATCTTTTGATGCACGTGGGGAGTAGAGCGTGCCAGATGGTTGCAGACAGGTATGGAATGTGGCCTATTGGACTATGCCTCTGCCTGCAGCAGACAATAATGCCACTGATAATGATTTCTCCCAACAACTTTCTCACAAGTGCCATTGAATGTTGGTCCAAAACCAAATAAACAAACTCACTGCCATCGAGTTGATTCCGATCCATAGAGACCCTCTTTAGGTTTCCAAGGCTACAAATCTTTACAGAAGCAAACTGTGTCATCTTTCTTCCATGGAGCAGCTAGTGGTTTCAAACTGCTAACTTTTTGATTAGCAGCCAAATGCCTAACCACTGCACTACCAAAGCTCCTATTGAATATTGATGTCTATTGTAAAATATTTTAAAAATTAACACAATTTTAAATTAAATTTTGTATGATTTGTTTACTAATATATATGTTGTTGTTGTTGTTATGTGCTGTCGAGTTGGCCCCGACTCATAGCGACCCTCCTTGGGTTTCCAAGGCGGTATCACTACAGAAGTAGGTTGCCCAACCTTCCTCCCGAAAAGTAGCTGGTGGGTTTGAACCTCCAGCCTTCTGGTAAGCAGTCAGGTGCCTTAGGCACTATGCTACCAGCGCTCCTACTAATATATAATTATTCTTATAATACAGGCTCAATTTAATATTTATATTGACAAAATTTAATATCGGTTAATACTATGAATAAAACTGAATATAATGAAATGTGCAAAAACCTGGAGTTAGAAAACCAAAAGGGAAGAACATGCTTGGCATTTCTCAAGGTAAATGGACTGAAGAAAAAATTTAAGCCTCGAGTTGCAATATTGAAAGATTTGATGGGCAAAATAATGATGCAGGAAACAGCAAAAGAAGATGGAAGGAATACATGGAGTCAATGTACCAAAAAGATTTGGTCGATGTTCATCCATTTCAGGAGGTGGCATATGATCCAGAACCAATGGTATCAAAGGAAGAAGTCAAAGCTGCACTGAAAGAAGTGGTGAAAAACAAAGCTCCAGGAATTGACAGGATACCCATTGAAATGTTTCAACAAACTGATGCCATGCTGGAGGCACTCATTCATCTATGTCAGGAGATTTGGAAGACAACTACCTGGTCAGCTGACTGGAAGAGATCCATATTTGTACCCATTCCAAAGAAAGGTGATCCCACAGAATGTGGAAATTACCAAACAATATCTTTAATATGTGATGCAAATAAAATCTTACTGATGATTATTCAAAAATGATTACAGCAGTATTTTGACAGAGAACTTCCAGAAATGCAAGCTGGATTCAGAAGAAGACATGGTATGAGGGATATCATTGCTGATATCAGATGGATCTTGGCTGAAAGCAAAGAATACTGGAAAGATGTTTACTTGTCTTTTATTGATTGTGTGCATCATAACAAATTGTGGATAGCATTGAGAAGAATGAGAATTCCAGAACACTTAATTGTACTTGTGAGGAACCAGTACATCGACCAGGAGACTATCATTCGAAGAGAACAAGGGGACATTGCATGCTTTAAATTCAAGAAGGGAATGTGTCAGGGTTGTATCCTTTCACCATAGTTGTTCAAATTCTACGCTGAGCAAATAATCCAAGAAGATGGGCTATATGCAGTGGAACATGGCATCAGGATTGGAGCAAGAATTATTAACAACCTGCAATATCCCGATGACACAACTTTGCTTGGTGAGAGTGAGGATAACTTGAAACACTTACTGATGAAGATTAAAGAATATAGTCTGCAGTGTAGATTACACCTCAATATAAAGAAAACAAAAAGTCCTCACAACTTGACCAATAAGCAGCATCACCATAGATGGAGATAAGATTGAAATTGTCAAAGACTTTATATTACTTGGCTCTACAATCAACACCAATGGAAGCAGCAGTCAAGATATCAGACAATGCATAGCACTAGGCAAATCGGCTACAAAAGGTGACTTCCAAGTTCTGAAGAACAAAGATGTCTCCTTGAAGACTAAGGTGCACCTGACCTAAGCCATGGTATTTTTGGTCGCCTCATATGCATGTGAGAGCTGAACAATGAATAAGGAAGACCGAAGAAGAGTAGTTGATGCTTTTGAGTTGTGGTGCTGGCAAAGAATCCTCAAAATACCATGGACCACTAAAAGAATTTACCAATCAGTCCTGGAAGAGGTTCAGCAGGTATGCTTCTTGGAAGTGACAATGGCCAGATTTCATCTCACCTACATTGGTCATGTTGTAAGAAGAGATTATTCCCTGAAAAAGGGTATGAGGATTGGTAAAGTGGAAGATCAACAAAAGAGGGGAAAACTGTCAACAAGATGGATTGACACAGAGGCTACAATGATGAGCTCAGGTATAGCAGGGATCGTGGAGCTGGCACAGTACTGGTCTGTGTTTTTGTTCCGCTGTACATAGGATCTCTATGAGTCAGACACAACTCAAGAGCACCTAACAACAACAACAAATGCTATGAATGCTATATTTTACAAGGTAGTGTTTAAAAAATCAGTCTACAATAGTATATACACATTTTAAATATTTCCTCAGAAATATACAATTTTTAAAAAATTATACATTTATGGTTCCAAATTAAAATATCTACATTTGGAAGGTAATATAAAAAAAATTTATTTTGAATATTGCAAATAAATATTTTGCGACATAAATTTTATATTAATATCCACTTCAGGAACCTCTCTTTCACTCTGGTTTCACACTGGCAGTGATGAGTAACTATGTCTTTCCTTCGGATACTCTGCTTTGGATACCTCACACCTTTACTCCAACACAGCTCTGAAAGGCTCATTGATGTCAGTGAACCTGATAGTTACATACCTCTCAACCCAGGTTTCTTGACCATTCTCAATTGTTCATATGGAATTTCTTTAAAATGGAGAAATGCTCTTTCTGAGAGATATAGTCTAGAATCCAATTAACAAATATATTGAAACTAGGATAACAGGTCTTCCACATAGATTGCAGCCCACATTTATGTCCAATAGATTTTATGGTAAAAAAATACAGATAGATGGTAAATATTTGTAGAGAAGCTGAATAAAATCCCATGATAAACATATTTCTATGTCTATAATTACCAAAAACTTAGCAATTTATTTTGACATATCCTTTCTAAAGACTTGTACTGGAAATAACACAAATGGTATATTCATTTCAACTGCAATTGTTCATTTGAATTTATGATAGTAAATATTTATTATTTCTGTGATTTCTTTATCATGTCTTACTTTCTTAATTTTAATTGTTTTTATTAAGAAAATATTTATATTTCCAAAATACTGTAATTTTTTTACCTTTATTTCTATTTTATGTTATGATAAAATGAATTTCAGAAACCAAAATGAACATGACTGCTAATATTCTGTACCTTTCTCAAAATATCTAAAACAAATCTAAGAGGTAACATTACAAATTCACTTATGAAAAAGCCGTTATTACTTTATTTGCATAAAATGGTCACTAATTTTCATACAGATGTTACTCATAAAATTAGCATATATTGTATCACCATTACTATAGTTGTTGGATGATGATGAGTCTGCTACAACTCATAACTACACTATGTTCAACAGAACAAAACACTACCTGATCATGCACCATCCTTAAATCCTTGCTATGATTTAGCCCATTGTTGTAGCCACTGTGTCAAACCATTTTGTTAAGGGTCTTCCCCTTTTTTGCTGACCTTCTACTTTATCAAGCATGATATCATTTTCTAGTGACTAGAAGGCTGGTGGTTCAAACCCCCCAGCCATTCCTCAGAAGGAAGGTTGGACAATCTCCTTCCATAATGATACTGCCTCAGAAAGCCAAGGTGGGGTAACTATGACTCAGATCTGACTCCACGGCAGTGGTTGCTTAGTCCCTTCTGACCATATGACCAAAGTAGATGAGATGAAGTCTGGCCATTCTCCCTGTCAATGACCATTCCGGATGCACTTCTTCTAGAAAAGATCGGTTCATTCTTCTTGCAGTATGTGGTATTTTCAGTATTTTTCACCAACACCACAATTCAAAGGCATCAACTGTCTTTTGGTCTTCCTTATTCATTGTCCAGCTTTAACATGCATATGAGGCAATTAAAAATTGCATGGCTTGGGTTAAGCACACCTTGGTTGTGAGTGAGATCTTTGATCTTTAACACTTTAAAGAGGTTTCTTGCAGCAGATTTTCCCAGTGCAATATGAGATCTGATTTCTTGATTGCTGCTTCCATGACCATTGATTGTGGATCCAACTAAATTAAGTAAAATGCTATCTTTGACAACTTCAATCTTTTCTCCATTTATCATGATATTGCTTTTTGGTCCAGTTGTGATAATTTATTCATTTATTTTTCTTTATGTTGAGTAGTACTCCATACTGAAGACTGTTTTCTTTGATCTTCATA